ATAATCAGAGCCAACACTCTGCTTACAGTTAGCTAAAGCTGTTGATTTGTAAAAGTTCGGATTTTTTCAATCAGATTTCCCCCTGACAACACCAATTATGTATCGGTTCAGACGCTGACCAAAAACCTTGGTAGAAAACGACTCTATGACATGCCGACGGGCTTCCTTGCCCATTTTTCCTGCCAAATTAGGATCTTGAATGAGTTTGCCCATAGCCAAAGAAAACTCCTGTGGATTAGGGTCACAAAGAAATCCCGTGACTTCGTGCTTAATAGTCTCAGTTGGTCCTCCACTGTCACATGCAATGACTGGTTTGTAGGCTGCCATTGCCTCCAAAGGTACAATGCCAAAGTGCTCGTCCTAAATAATCAACAAATCAGACTAGATTGGGCACAACCCTTATTTATTTGGCAAGATATAGATACAAACATACCTGTGGAGTATAAAGGACACACAGACATTCGGACAGAAGAGTGTTCCTTTCGCTAGTGGAGCAAGATGTAACGAATGTGACTCGATCAGTCACCCCTTCCTTTTGTGCTAGAAATTTAAGTTCCTCCAAGTACTCCACATTTTCCCTCAGTCTAGTATCATAGCCACCTGAAATGAAGGAATTTTTATGTACTCAGTAACATGATTCAAAGATAGACCTGCAACTGCAACAAGTGATCTTCTGGGGTAGAAAATATGAAAGGAAATTTATGAACCTCAGTCACATGATTCAAAGATAGAACAGAATTGCACCTAAAACCAAACAGGAATTAGAAGTAAAAGGAATGAAGTGTAATCCTTCACACCATCCCGGAAAAGATAAAGAGAATAGCAGGAGTGTAATCAAAGGACAAGACTTGTACAGAAAAATGATTCAAAAAAGGACCCAAACCAAAATAACTTAAAATGTAGAAATGATCTGTCCACAAAAGAAACTACCTCCAGACTACCAATAGCATGTTTACATGGAAGCCAAAACTATAGATTAAAATCCTAAATTGATCCATAAGCATCTGTAACAAAGCTAAATATATATTTCACTGTCAAGCAGAATAATTAAACACCACAAAGAAGCTACTTAACAAGTTTTCATCTAATAATACTCTCCAGCTGATTAGTCCCAACTCCCAAATCAAAATAATTAGCAGATACAGAGATGCAGAGTAGTACAACAATTCAACAAACACATGTCCACCTGAAATTTTATCAGGTACATGAGGGAACCTTGGACTTCTAAACGAGCTGTTGATGAGATGAGGGAAGATGGGTGTAAAATGAATTTCAGGCAAATTCACAGAATATCTGCATCTCTGAACTTCTTGGAAGTATAGTCATTACACGAGATTGAGGGGAGAAAATTATATTAGCTCCCTGCATAGGCTTTTTTCTGATAGAGGCTTGCTTAGCTTTTGTAGCAAAGCTTGGCGCTTCTCATACAAGGGGATAAAAAAGGCAACCACTACATGACAGTGGTTCCTAATCCCCTGGCCATCCAGTATCCTATTTTTGGTGCGGCTCAAGAATTTTAGTCCAAAGTTGATTAAAATAACTTAATTTATGATAGTCATTGGAGCTGACTGACAAGCATGGAAAGAAGTACTCTAATATCATCACAAAAAACCAACCTCCAAAGTTTTTATTCCAATCAGTGCATTTTAAATAATTACATAAGGTGCCAAGAAAATTAATTCTATCCAATCAAGTCTTAACAGAAACCAAAATTAGGATAGAAGGTAGCCTGAAAAATAAGAGTAGATTTAGAAAATCAATCAATCAATCAAAGCCTTAATCCCATAAGCGGGGTCGGCTACATGAACCAAAAGTGATTATTCCATGTAGTCATCGACAAAGTAGATTTAGAAAATATTCGAAATAAAAAAGGCGGACACTAACATTCAAATTGTTAAGAAATTAACAGTATGCATCAAGATACAAGAATCACTGAGCAAAATCTCCTATTGATCCATAGTGATCCTATACAATGATTATGGAGAGAGAGAGAGAGGGAGAGAGAGAGAGAGGGGGGTGGGAGGCTTGTAGATAAGGTTCAATGAAATACCCGCAATGGTCAGAGTTACGTCATTCTCTTCATTTCCCTCAACTTTGAGAAGCCTTGCAAATGCCGAAATTGCCAAATCAATATTCTTCTTTCGCTCAAAGCGATTGATTGACAAAAAATTCATTCTATACATCAGCAAATCACAAATTAGATACAAAACTTAGTCCATAATGAGATACATAACTTAGAAAAAGCCTAGACATAGCTGTTTAAGATATGCCTAGAACTAGAAAATACCAAGCAGGTTCGTTACTTAGAAGCATGAGGTTCACCAAATTGATCGACATTAACAGCAGGGTACAGAACTGAAGGATGAACTCCACCAGCATTTAGATGCTTAAAAGTATTTGCAAAAGTTGATGCAGTAAACTTACTGTTTACCAGGACTAGATCCGACATTCCTGTAAATCCGAGCATAAAAAAAAATTTATATTCTGAAGAACAATTGAAGGAACATGAGAATAGCTAAAGAGAGATTGCACAGACATACCAGTTGTCCTTTCTTCTATAATATCTATAGGCTTTCGGTATATTTTCCTAAGTAAAGTAGTGTGTTTAGCCAGCAAAAGATCCGGAAAATGACAATAAAAGACAACCTGATAACATAGGAAATCGACAAATCAAAAGTAGTGTTACCCCACATAGCATCAAAACAGGACCAGACCACACCATCGTTATTAATATATGCAGGAGGCTCGAGCATTTACCTTAATTGACTTTTTGAGCTTCAATAATGGAACCACAATGGAAACTTGATCGGCCAATACAACATCAAATGATGGCCACATGAACAGAACACAAAAGGCGACAAATATGCATCGGAGATATGCACATACAGCATGGAATCGATATAAAATATGCCTTGGTAAGAAATCCCCATAAACAGTGACTGGAAAGACACCTGGTAGATTTTTTGGAATAAAAGACATCAAAACTTATTCACTGCAAGAGTACATTATGGAGAAAAAGTACCAACAATATTCAGCAACAAACTTTGCTTCATGGATGTCACTATTTGTCATGCTTTCTTAAAAACTTGTCTTGTTATTAGTTTGCAATTCTTTGCAATTTTAGTTCATCTAGGAAATAATCAGCTAAAACAAGCAATATTACTTGTAATAGTGAAAATGAGATAAAATCGAAGGCTAAATGTCTTCTTTGGGGAGGGTTAACAGTCTTTTCACTGATGAAAAGGTAAAAAGGTGGAAACCATATTAGTATACTTCCCATGATCCTTGGATCTTGTGCTTTACAAGCTGGGCAACAAAGAGACTTCTAGATACACTTTGAAAGGAGCAAAAAGAGTAAATTTCAGTGCAGATCAACATGCACGGCTATTCTTACGATTAGAGTGGAGTGTTGAAAGGAGATATATGTGTTAATTTTCTGAAACACCATTTTTCGAATATAATTTTTTAACCTAACAACGAAAACTAACACATATATCTAAGCATCAATAATCCTCTAGAAACCAGTAATACAAGTAGGAGAAGAGTTATTAACTTATTATAAAACATCTTCACTCACAAAAGAGACGCTCTAATATATATAAATAATAATAAATAAAATATGGTAGGGATATCCTCACCGCTGAGAGTCTCTTCAAAACAACGATTCTTGTCATGATGAGATGTGAAAATGTGCACATTGTGCCCATGTGATGCTAGTTCCATTGCAGCATCAACAATCAATCTTTCAGCACCACCTACAAAACATGAAAAGTTTTTACTATCCACCATAGTAATAAAGCATGTCTTAATGACAAAATGCCAAGAAAAGGAACCCACAAAAGGATGAAAAGAAATAAAATTACAGCTGAACGATTTTAAAATTCATTGCGAGATCACATTCGATCTTTTGTGCTAGCCTACGGTTAGTATAATACCACAAACGACATTGTCTCGATGACAAAGTTCATACAATGACTTACATTGCAGCCATAGATTAAATTTGCATAGTGAGGTGATCAATCTAGTGCCTTGGACCGTGGAACAGACAGTTAATCTTCAACCAAATAATTAAATTGCAATTCCATACATCCAAACTCAGTTTTATTCAGACTCTAAATCAAAGTGGCTTCAATTTTAACAACTAATTTATAAAAATACTCACAATCTAACTCAAAATACACAAAAACTAATCAAAATTTGGCAATTTCTCATGATTTAAATACTCAATACAACACAATTAAGACTTCATTCTATTATAATTTCACTCTCCTTCCAAATCATAAACAAAATCCTTAAAAAAAACCATTCACAAATTCAATAAACAATTTTTTTGAGTACGACATTTTCTCCAAATCCCAGGCAATAAAAATTGAAAATTGCCTTGAGAATTTTTACTTGGATCTCCAATAAACTTTTCCATCATCCCTAAATTTAAACACCGGCCACCACAATCCATCGGTGGCGAGCCTACAACCTAAATCCCAATCTGAAAATTGGACCTCAACCATAGCAGAAAGGACCTTAATCCCTCCACGCTCATAAACATAATAAACAATCGATGACATACATAAATCAAAATTAATACAACAAATTAACATGACATACACAAATCAAAATTAATACCAACAAAAAAAATTGAAAAATTACCTATACCAAGATCTGGGTGTATAATTGCTATCTTCAACTTAGTATTTTCCTTGTTTGCCATAATAGTTGATCAAAGAAACCCAGCAACAAAAACAGGAGAGAGAAATTGAAACAAATTTTCTTGAAAGGGTGGAATCGACGGTGGGGGTCGTTAAAGTTCAAATCTTGCTGCCGGATTTGCCGTAATAGAGGTTTGGGCAAACGTTTTGACTGGCGTTTGAAGCCATTGAAACAAAAATTATGAATGGACAAAAATAGCCCTTGTTTTTTTTTACGTGAATCCTTTTGAGATTTTCTCTTTTATCAAGTAGACTGAGGCTATTTTCGTCTTCTAGTTTCCCTTTATTTAACAATCAGAAATTCATTCATCAAATAAAACCTCAAAATCAGTCAGATTTATAGGAGAGAACAAGAGAGAGAAAATGACGAGAGAAGAGATGAGTGGACCGCCGGCGCAGAAGGTTTATCGTCTTCTCTCTTTCGCCGCTGCCGGAGGTATTTTTCTATTATTCCTTTTCCGTAAATTCGATACAATGGTTATGCCGCGTGACAATTTTCTTATAACCCCGGGAAAAATAAGTTAGGATATGGTTTGGGTTTATGTTATGAAAAAACACAATATAGTACGAATAGTTTTCGATTGATTGACAATAATGTATGAATATTGTAAATTGGTATCACGTAGGATTTACACGGTTGTATTAAATATTTTCCGAAAGCAATCTTGGATCAATTATAATGATGATTTCTTGTGGTTTTTGTGATCAGTGATATGCACATTTGCAATTAACCAATGGAGAGTATTTGAAAGCAAAAGAGCTGAACAAAATGAGGAGAAGGAGAAGCAGCAACATCAACTACCTCATGATTCCCAGTCTACTGTTGCTCAAAAAGTACTCAAATAATTTCATTACTTTGCAGGTTTTTACAATTTTTATTGTTTTTTTCTTGGGAGATTGAGAAGTAGTTTGTTTGTAGAGTGAAATTATTTAATTTTAATTTGCCAATTGATTGAAAACTGTTTGAAAAGTTTGTCAAGAGTTTTCAATTCTTTGTGGAGATTTTGAGACTCCAATTTTTGTGTTAGACTACTAGCCATGTGTCCCATGTAACCTTATTTGAAATAAAATTGACTCATAAATAAAAGTCATACGCCATCTACAAAGAGATTTAGATCTAACAAATACATCATAGTTTCTTAACACTTGGTATACAATACTTGTATATTTTTGCCGCTTTAAAAATGAAGTATTATTTCAACCAAAAAAAAAAAAATAAATAAACGAAGTACTTTGAATGATTTATCTTTGGTGTAATTTTTTAGCCTTTTATTTCTCATGAATTTTGAGGTTTTGAAAGACCTAAAAATACAGTAAAGCTCGGCAACGTCGTTGCTTGCATTTCTAAATTTGATAATAGGACACTTATTTAAGAAGTAGGACAGTTAAAAAAAATGTAGGGAGTAATAGAGATGACACTTTTTATGTGTATATACTTAAATACTTATTAGTAATCTATTTGCAGTAACTAAGGCTTCTTACTTCATAAAACATAACTACTCATAGTATACATGACGTTCATGCATTATTTGAAAACTAGAAGTGTCAAAATAGAGAAGAACAACAAATAATAGGCATTGTTGACTAAGTTGAGTATGATGCTATGTTCTTTGCGGATGATGTTATGTTCTTTTTCAAAGCCAAGATTTGACACTGGACAACAAATAAATTTTCAGAAATCTCACATCAAATTCAGTCCTTTTGTTTCACCAAAACTTGCTACTGAGTTTAATTCTTCGAATCCCTAGTGTTCAGATTTTGGGAACACATTTAGGATGTCCGATTGATCTTACGGGGAAAAAGGCGGATAGTTTTAACTATCTTATAGAGATGGTTAAAACAAAAATCTTATCATGGTCTACGTGTAGACTATCACAATCCGCAAAACTAGTTCTCATAAACTCTGTCTTGATGGGTACCTCCGCTCATGTTATGAAGTCCCTGAAACTACCTTTATCTATTGCAAATAAACTAGACTCGATCATAGCTAGATTTTAGTGGGCAACAAGTGGAGAAAGAGGTATTCACTGGCTTAGGAAATCAATTATTCAGTTACCAAAAGGAATGGGCGAACCAGGAATTCGAGGTACTAGTACGATGAATAATACTCTTCTTTTCAAAAGTGTTCTAAGGACGCATAAGAATCCACAGCTCGTTGCATCTAAGGTTTTCAATGCAAAAATCCCATGTCTCATGTGTTATGGTATTCCGAGGACACAGGTGGCAGGGACCATTTCTTATGCTCGCAAAGGTTTCCACAAGGTCGTCTCCAGGCTTCTCCCGAGATTTGCATGGAAAATTGGAAGTCGGGAAAACATTAAGGCCTACAGTAGCAAATGGGTTAATGGGAATAATTCGAGTGGTTAGATCTAATCAAAACCTTCACGAGAGCATGCAATGGACAGTTAAGGATTTTATTGGTAAAAATGCTGGCTCCTGGAATGCTTCAATTGTCAGAGAAAAGTTCGAATGGGATAGCGCATATGCAATTTCAGGGAAAAGATAAGGGTGGGATAGCGCATATGCAAGTTCGAATGGGATAGCGCATATGCAATTTCAGAGAAAAGATAAGGCTGATGATTTCCTTTATTAGCCTAACCACAACTCTAGGAGGTTTATAGTTAAAACAGGTTATAGCTTCCTCTTGAATACTGTTCATGGCCAAGAAATGGATCATGATATGGATCGTATACCTTCTTTAAAATCATATGGAGGCTTCATATTCCTCCAAAATGCACCATGTTCATTTGGAAACTTTATTATGATGCTATTCCAACAAAGGAGAAACTTATACAACGAGGTATGCCAATGAATGAGATTTGTGACTATTGTGGTTTGGATGTTGAAACTTCAGAACACATTTTCAGGTTCTGTACTTTGGCTGAATTTGCGTGGATTTATGCCCATGTCACTAACAGCCAAACAATTAATGACTCTATTTCTGTTCCCTTGAGGGAATGGATTCAATCTTATATCCTCTGTTTTATAGTCGGGATGGAATACATAGTGAAGCTATGACAACCTTCATTGCAACCTTCATTGCAACCAGCGTGTTTTAGGGGCAAAACTGGTGATACTGGCAGTTTAACTAGGAATATTGAGGAAGCACTTAAAAATTTGGAAAAATTTAGAAAAGCTCTAGAGAGAGGTCAGAGCTTTTAGAGAGAGAAAGTGTGTTTTACTCACATCTTCGAGAGCTCCTCCGTGCCTTTCACTTTTCCGTTCGAATTTCCTTGAGTTTTCCGGTCAACCTTCAAGATCTTATAAAACTTTCATAGTTTTCTACTCGTACAGAGGTAACCATCTGCTTTCCTTTACTTCTTCTTTTTCCATACTTGTTTTATTATTTAAACACGAACTGGCATAATACTCGGCTTCGTTTGTTTCTCCTCATGAGGTCGGCCGTTCGCCTGGGACTGAGGAGTCTAGAGTGGACGGAGACGATTCCTCCTCTCTTTGGAGTGGGTTCATTTGTGGTGCGTACCAACTCACTCCCACCTATTCTTCTCTGTCCCTGCAGTCGAACATGGCGCGTACGAGACAAAGTACGAACGGGGTGTCCCTAGAAATCCAGACGACAGTATGGTGGACCCCCTAGTCCCTTATGATCCAAATAATACAGACAGGAAGAACACGGACACCACTGTTAGTGGTAGTGCATGCTCCGTAATAGAAGTGACTGCCTCCCTTCCTGAGTGCCAAAATCAGCAAGACACTTCTTCTTCTAGGGAGGCGTCCGGGCAAAATCCGGTACAACGCCTCTCCCAATATACCAGCTCAGTCTTGATGCCGTCCGAGCTGCCATCTTCTAAAAGGCATCCTTCAAGAAATCAGGCGGACACTAGGTTCGGCCATGTGGGATTGTTCGACCAAAATCCCCAATAACCCTCAATTCAAACCACCAGGTCGGCCAGGCCTAGGATTGGCATTCATATTGCTGAGCCGTACGACCTGCCCCCTCGCAGTGCTCCTCCTTTTGGAAATTAGGCCGACGCTAGGGGGAAACATTATAAGGGATCCAGGGGAGGGAGCTCGGCCAAAGCTGATGAACTGGACACAATGTTGTCCTTTGAGTTTGGCTCGGCCAGGGCCCCTGAATCCCAGGCCGCCGAGGAAGAAGCTGAGAACCCGGACGCCGATCAAGCAGTCAAAGAGGCCAACGTCGAAAATTTTAAGGACCAGTATGCCTGTACGGTCGGCGATGTTGCCTTAGGTTTTTTGCACCATAATTTTGAGAAGTTCCGAGACTCCCTCCATCTTGGAAAAGGTTATCAGCTCGTGGCGCCGACCCGCTCGTACTCGGTGGCCGCTTGGGAGAGCAAGAGGCAGCGGAAGATGTTTTAGTATCTACCGCACCGCCTTGGAAGTGGGCCTTTGCTTTCCCCTACATCCATTCGTTTAGGCTCTGTTGTACAAATACAACATTGCTATCTTCCACCTGTGCCGAACAGCTGGGTAAATATTTTTGGCTATTTGGTGACGTGCCTTCGGCAAGGCTTCAATCCGGACGTCCCACTTTTTTGAGAAATGCATTCCATGGTCCGCTTGGATTCCGAGACGGACGACTGGTTTATCTTGAGCACCCAGAAAGAGTATCTGGTGGTTCTAAACAGACCGTCCAAGTGGCGAGACTAGAAGCACCGATTCTACCGCATCAAAACCAATGACGAAGAATTTAACTTGCTGATGAATCGGTTCAATGCTGATCCAATTCAGCTCGGACGTGGGATGCACATGCCTTCTAAGCCGACTGTCCACCCTAACAACAGCTTCCAACTGGAGTATTTCAAAGCCTGGAAGGTGGTCAGTAATGGGAAAACGGTGACTATGCCATCCCATTGGATCCCGTTGGCCGACTGGCTTAAGAGTCCGGTATTTATGTCGGCTTGCGGTCTATACCGGAATTACCCTCGAGGTGGAACCTTGTGACTTGCCTGTTCGAATGCTTTTTCAACTTGAAAATATTCTAACACTTTCATTCTTCTTCTCTTTTCAGCCGAAGATCTTGCCATGTTGGACCCTGAGCAAAAAAGAGAGACCCACATGTCCGAGTTTGACTTGATGCGGTACAAAGTCCGCCAACAACAGCACGACCAGGCAAGGAGGTACTGATGATTTTTTTTTGCCGAGTTGATATGCTGGAGAGGGGATCCTTCTCTTTTTTACTCGGACGCAACTTTCTTTGTCATAATGCCGAGTTGACATGTTGGGAAGGGTGTCCTATCCGATTTCACTCGGACACCACTGTTTTACTTTCATGCCGAGCTGGTATGTTGGGAAGGGGATCCTTCTTAATTTTGCTCGAAGACTTATCTCACTTTGACTTTGACTTGTTCTTTTCAGGTGTCTACTCCCACTCTCCGAACGAAGAGGAAGCATTTGACCTCGACTTCCAAGGACGGCCAGTCGTCCAAGGCTAGGAAGACAACAACCTCAAAGGCTAAGTCTTCCCCTAATGCGGCCAAGACCGCGCCGCAGGCTGCCCAAAGCAATCTGAAGGAGAGCAACCCCAGCTCACACCTAGTGGGGTCTCCAAGTCCGTGTAGCCGCAAACTGAGGCGGTCCATGATGAATCCGTCCATGGGGGTGGAGGGGGTAAGTCGTCCCTAGCTAAAACGACCGGCAACATAACCTTGACTCCGCATGTTGAGGTGATTGACAAATCTGAGCGGCAAAAGGACGCCTCTCAGTCGGCCGAAGAGCAGCTCGGCTGCACTCAGGAAATGGGGGATCAGCCATTGCCCCCTCATACCTCTGCATTCAACATCCCATCTCTTCCATCATTCTTAGAAAATACATGAGACATACGTATGCTTTTTACTTGTGTTTTCATCACTTGTTCCAACAATCTAACTCCCCTTCTTGTTTGACACATACATTTCCAAGGAGATGCATATGAAACTATTCGGCCAATCGCTCACAGACGCTAACCGGTAGGCTATCCCAGAAGCCATGCAACGGGCTGTCCTTAAAGAGCAGCGGGACAAATTCTGCGGCATTGATGAGGGCTTCCTCGACCCTATGATAAACTGCAGCGCTGAGGTAACTACACTTTGCCCAAGCTTTAATACTTAGTTTATTTTCACATTTAGGTCTTGTAAACTTGTTTCCGTCCTAATGCAGATCTTCCCCAGGCTCAGTGCCTTCCTAGACTAGAAGGCCAAAGAAAATGAGAAGATCAAGGTGGCCTAGGTTGAAATAAGACGGATCTCTGATTAAAACATCGAAACAATTGCCATCTAAGAGATCCGGCATAAGGCGGCCTTGACTGCGCTATCAGAGAAGTCGGCTTAGTAGACTGAAGACATCGTCAAAATTGGCAATGCTCTCAAGCGGGAGTAGCAGGCTCAAGAGGCGCTACAGCTGGAGAGGGATGAAGCGGTCGCGAATGCCTCTTAGTGGAAGGAGCGCTTCAAAGCCTCTGAAAAACTAAGGAACGATCTGACCTCCTCCCAAGAAGCTCTCCGGACGACATTAGACAAAGTAGACTCCCTTAAGCTTGAGGTTGAGCGCTTGAACAATTCCATTGCAGACTTGTCGGAGCAACTAATGGCTCCTTGACCAATTAACCTTGAAGAGGCCGTCCGAATTAAGCATAAGGTCAAGGAAAAGCTAAAGAGCCGCTTCTACGAGGCATTTTCCATGATGGTTGACAAGGGCGAGACGACCTATTATCAAGAGCGCTTCACTCGCCGTCTTGAGCACGTCTGCCTCAAGGAAGAGACCGAGGTTGTTAACAAGTCCCCTACCGAGTTTGTTGAGACTTTCTCTGACTCCGAGGTCGAGGAGGATGATAAGGGAGAGGAGCATAAGAAGGTCGAGGAGGAGGATTTTGCCAAAGCTGATGAGAAGCCGGCTGAATGAGAAGCTCAGGTCCTCCGGCTGCTATTGATCAAGCTCTTTGTACTTCAATTTTTATTTCCTTATTTTGAACAATTTCAACTTTTGCCACCTATTTGAGTGGTTTTGTATTATACTCTTCTTTTTTACTACTGTCTTTTTGAACGACTTTTTTTTTTCCCTTCTTTCTTCATCCATACTTAGCATTTTTGAGCAATTTTTCATGACTTTATCTGCTTTTGCGTACGAATGATTTCTCACTCACTAGGGGTATGCCCCTTTATTCGGCATTTTGCCTAGTCCATATTTAAAGAGGTTTGATTAACTTAGTAGATTTTATACCTCAAAGGGTATGACGACTAGTAAGTTAATTAAATCATAATAATGATTGCCCTTGGACTAGGTGAATGCCGAATGAATTTTAGTTATACGGTCGTTTAATTGGCTTGTGCCGAGCCGTCCTTGATAATATCTCTCGGACGTAATCATGAAATTTCAAGTATTATCTCAACTTGATTATTTCTAAGTGATTGTAGGGCTTGGGAGCCTAGGTAGGCCCTTGCCCTTGAGGTAAAAATACCTCTAGCAATTTTTGGACTACCTTATGCCCTTGCTAGGCGTTTTACCCGACCGCTTAAACATGCTCCTTTAAGGGCCAAGCTGCTATGTTGCAAGCAGCTTCGTTTCTCTTTTTGGGCAAGAATTTAATAACAATGTTTGAATTTAATACCTTAGCACCATAGACCAGAAAGAATGGGGTCTCCTCTGTTGAACTTTTTGCCGTTGTTCGAATGGACCATTAACACATTGACCAACTCTTAGCACATAGGCCGCCTTCTTTCTCAAGCTTTCGCTTGATGATATTGGAGATCAATTTGTTGTATGCTTCAACTTGGCCATTGGCTTTTAGGCATTCGACTGAGGCAAAGCAATGTGCTATGCCCTGGTCACTCAGCCAATCCCTGAGGTGGTCGATCTTAATTTGCGGTCCATTATCGAACACCATTGATTGCGACACACCACAACGTGTGATTATGTTCTTCCAAATGAAGGCAGATGCATCTCTCCATTTAATCCCATGGATAGCCTCGGTTTCTACCCACTTTGTGAAGTAGTCAACAACTACTAACATGTACCGCCTCTGTTCGGATGTTGGAGTATACGACCCCAAGATGTCCATGCCCCATTTTGCCAAGGGAAGTGGACTACTTATTGCCGACAAACTGTTTGCCGGGCGGTGAATAAGGGTTGCAAATCTCTTGCACTTGTCACATTTTTTCACCATTTCCATGGCGTCTGAATTCATGCTCGGCCAGTGGTACCCCAGATGGGGTAACTTTCTCAGCTAAGATCCGTCTGCCTAGGTGTTATCCGCAATGGCCTTGATGGAGGTCGTCCAGTACTTCATGCCCCTTCTTGGCCGTAACTCACTTCAAGTAGGGCTTTACAAATGATCTTTTGAACAAGTCCTCTCCCTTCATCTCAAACCATGCCGCCTTTTTCTTCATTAGCCAACTCTCCTTTGGGTCATCCGGAAGAACTCTATCCTTGAGGAAGGAGATTATTCTGTCAATCCATGTGGAGCTTCTGTCAATGATTTGCACGGGCTTGGCATCAATGCTCCGCTTTTCTTTAACTTCCCAGAACACGAATCTTGGAGTATCACAGGATGCCGAGGAGGCTAGCTTGGATAGAGCGTTCTCTTGATGATTCTCAGACCGAGGGACTTATTGTAGGGTGAAATGTTCTAGGCTCTTAGCCTCATCTTTCCCATTTGCAAATACCTCATCATTGTTAGCTTCCTAGCCTCGTAGTCACATTCAGTTGGTTGACTATCAGCTGAGAGTCTGAACAGGCATCAATCTTTGTTGCCCCGGCCGCCTTACACATTTTAAGGCTGGCCAGAAGGGCTTCATACTCGGCCTCGTTGTTGGAGGCTTGAAACTGAAATCTCAAAGCATATTAAAATCTATCTCCTTTGGGAGATAGATATATGATACTAGCGCCGCATCCGGTCGCTGTTGCACTTCCATCCACAAAAACTTTCCAGATGTGATCCCCTGCCGGCTGTAAATCCGGCCTTGTCATTTTAGCCAAGAAGTCTGCAAAGTCTTGGCCCTTGATTGCTTTTCTGGGTTCGAATGCGATTTCAAATCCTCTCTATTCTAAGGCCCATTTAAGCATTCGACTGTTGGCCTCTAATGTCGTGAACGGCTTCTTCAATAGTTGGTCCGTGTAGACCACAGTCGAATGAGCAAGAATGTATGGCCTTAACTTTTTTGATGCCATGAACAATGCTAAGCCGAACTTTTCAATGGGTGGATACCTAAGCTCGACATTGTGCCGAACGTGGATAATGAAATACACAGGAATTTGATGGCCGTCCCTTTCAGCAAGCAGGACGACGCTTAAGGAATGATCTAAAAAAGCCAATTACATGTATAGCTTCTTATCTTTAAGGGGATCACTAGTAGAAAAAAGCAAATGGCTTAGTTGAATTTTTTGCCCCACTGAAACATAGTATCGTTTCTTATTTTGTGCTGGTCATCCACTGACATTCCTGTTTTTCATCATGATGAATTTCATGGAAATCTTGACAGTTCACTTGCTCCAATGTATGCTCAGATGATGTAGACTTACTTTTGGCTTCAGATTACTGATGGTTCTATTCAACAAGTTAAACAAGAGGTAGCTATGTTTTGCTCAGTCATATGTAATTTTATTTTTAAACAAGTGGTGGTGATTGATGATAGACTATTTTTTAGATGTAGAGAGTGACTTTTTTATTAATTTTTTAAATGAAGAATTCACCTTTTTAGGCTATTTAGTATCTTAGATATAAGCAAATGCATAGCCTGACATATGTCTTTATTTCCTTAGGAACGGAAATCCTTTGATGAAAAGTTCATTCAAATGGATACAAAAAGGCTCTGCAAGTTGGCATTTGGTGCTGATAGCCTGCAATTAAAGCCCATGATTGAGCCCCTACTGATATTTTTTTTCATATTTTTTTCAAGTGTAAAATTAGAGATTTTTTTATGAATATATGAGTTTTATGTTTATTATGTATATGTATAAGTGTTTGACAGTCAATTTATGTGAAAAAAGCAAAAAAAAAAAAAAAAAAATTATTATTTTTTTATACGAAAGGGCAACGGTACAGTGGGCCAAACCGCTGCCTATTATGCCTGACAATTTACTTGTAAAGAACAAATGGGCAGCAGTTTGGTGAGGGAATCGCTGCGCATTTCCCATGAATGGGAAGCGGTTTGAACCGCTACCCATTAAACAGGGCAATAGGCGACTCCCTTAGAGCCAGCGATTCAAAATCGCTGCCCATAAGGGGTTTTGAATCGCTTGCCATTTGCATTTTTCTACTAGTGGATTGACGAGCCGAGGAAGTGCATGCAAATGATTCTTCAACTGTACGAAGGCTTCCTCAGCCTCCTCTGTCCACTCGAACATTGCTTTCTTATTAATTGTCTGGAAAAAATGGCGGCACTTATCCCCTGATCTTGACAGAAATCGTCCGAGTGCAGCTAAGCAGCCGATCAGTCTTTGAACTTCTTTTATGGTTCTGGGCGATTTCATGTCTAAGATTGCATAGATCTTTTCAGGATTAGCCTTAATGCCGCGCTGATCAATAAAAAAATCCGAGAAATTTGTCGGACTCAACACCAAAGACACACTTCTTTGGATTTAACATTATCTTATGCCGCCTGAGTTCGGTAAATGTTTCTCAGAGGTCACTCAGATGATCGACTGGTTTCTTTAATTTAACAATCATGTCATCAATATATGCCTCCATATTCTGGCCGATCTAATCTCTAAAGACCGTATTCACAAGTCACTGAAATGTGGCAGGGGAATTCTTCAGGCCGAATGGTATGAATTTGTAACAGTACAACCCATGCTCGGTCACAAATGCTGTTTTTTTCTTGATCTTCTTCCCACAAAGGGATTTGATGGAAACCAGGGTATGCGTCCATAAAGCTCATTAGGGCATGCCTGGCCGTTGAATCAACTAGGCGTTCAATTTTAGGTAAGGGAAAGCTATCCTTAGGGCATGCCTTGTTGAGATCAGTGTAATCTACACACATCTGCCAAGTTCCATTCGGCTTCTTGACCAGAACTACATTGGCCACCCAATTAGGGTAATAACATTGTCGAATGAAACCAGCGTCCAGCAGTTTCTTCACCTCGGTTGCGGCCGCCTGATTTCTTTCTTCGCCGTGATTTCTCTTTTTTTACCGTACAGTCTTTGCGGCCGGATTCACAGCCAGCTTATGGACTGCTAAGTCTGGGCTTATACCCGACATCTCACGAACTTCAAATGCAAACACATCTTTGAATTCTCTTATTAAATTCACTAAGTCATCTCCAAGCAAGCCCATGCCCATAGTGCCCACTTTGACCGTCCGAACAGGCTGGTCTGGGTAGAGCACTATGTCCGTATAATCGCCGGCCGGCTAGGGCCTCAACTCTTCTTGCCGGCCGATGGTCATTAGCTGTTACGCTTGTTCTTTCTTGATCGACTTACGTTTCTTGAAAACCTGGTATGCTTGGAGTGACCCTTCTTCGGAGTTTTGCTCGGACGCTTTTCCATGTTCGTGTGATGTTGGCTTGGCAGCCAACAAATTACATTCTTTTTCCATTGTAGGGAATTTTTCAAACTCAACCTTGAGCCCCATTGTAATCATGCTTTTAAGCATGGTGGCGTCTAAAGGGAAAGAAGCTAGAGATAAAAGAGTCGCCAACAAGTTTTAGGAACTTGTAAACCGTTCACGGGTGTGAAGGTTACACCCCATTCACGATCACGGAGATCGCTAACTCCATAGTGGTACAGAACCATAACTGGATATTCAGGGATTATGGTACGAATCTAACCTAAAAGAGATTGAACTCGCCCTAAATCGGCCTTGTACGGAATATTTCAAACATCAAATTTGAGCCCCACTGCGATTATGCACTTAAGCATGGTGGCATTCAAAGGGAAAGAAGCTAGAGATAAAAAGAGTCGCCAATAAGTTTTAGGAACTTATAAACCGTTCACGGGTGTGAAGGTTACACCCCATTCACGATCACGGAGATTGCTAACTCCATAGTGGTCCGGAACCATGACTGGATATTCGGGGATGATGGTACAAATCCAACCTAAAAGAGATTGAACCCGCCCTAAATCGGCCTCTACTTAATTCTTATGATATTCATGTGTGCTTTTCGACAAACATACATACATCAAGTTAACCCTAAACCTGTTTAATCTATGTTAGTTGATTATTAATGCACAAATAAATCTATTATTGGATATCACTTGAACTAAAATCATATTAACCTTATATCAAATTATTAATTATCTTATTAGGCGTGATTTCAAGTAAAAATCCCCTTTAAACTTGCAAGAAAGGGTGTGATCAAGAAATATCAATAATATATAAATAATCATAATCAAACGACATATAATAATAATTGACACAACAATCATCATCATAATAATATCATCAAAACATGATTAATTGCAAGATCCTAGGCATGATACTAAACGGATTAATAACAAACCCTAGCATGTCACTAATAATAAAGATCAAAGCTTTATCCTAAACATGATACTAGAACATAATATTAGAAATCATAAAAGCATCCTAACATGATACTAGATATCATGAAAACATCCTAACATGATACTAGGAATTAATTTAAAATTTTAAGCATGATTTCTATATCAAAAGAATATTTAAGTAATCGAATTACTCACTTTGATGCCTCATACCTCTTTCTATCAAAACAATAAACACGTTAGTAACTTCAAGAAAGATATAAATCAAACAAATAAATTAAATATAAATAATTGAAATATAGATTTGGGACCAAACCCTCAGAAATATTAACCTTTCATGTTGAGGTTGAAGGCAACTATGAGAAGGGCTTGGAGTATTCAAGTCTCACAAAGGACGTATGGTGTGTGATGTTTTTAGGCTAAGGCTAAGAAAGAGAGAAAGAAAAGCTTACAGCTTAGAGAGGGACTAAGATGATGATTGTTGGTGAATGAAAACAGATGAAAGCATCCTCTATTTATAGAGAAAAACGAGGGAAAAGATCAGAAAAGAGTCAGAATTCGACTCGGAGTAAAACTGATCGTATCGCGAAACGCCAGCTATATCGCGGCACGATACTTATATCAATGCGTAATATTAGTATCGCAGCGCGATATAAGTATAGTCCAGCAATAGTTTTGGAAGATAGAATCTGTATGGAATCCTACTTCCAATCAAATTGGGTTAATCGTATTCCTGTACATATTCTAATTTTATCAGAACTAAACCTATTGAAAAACAAGTGTTTTATCCGAAGTAAAATTCTTAATATCTTTTCAAAAACAGGATAAGTTAGAACCTTCTAGAGGATTCTAGAAGATAATAATAAATCCTAAGGATTTAGGAATGACGTTAAAGGTTAATGGACCCTCCACATGATCATTAGGTCGCAGGTAAAGTTCGGTTTAGTATTTTGGCCATAACTTCCTCGTTATAACTCGGTTTGGGCTATAATATATCGTTGGAAAGCTATTTTAAAGCCCCATCCAAATATACCATTATTGGACCCAGATTATGGACCAAAATAAACTGGTTCAGACGTTTTTATAAAGATGACACGAAATGAATGATTTTCAAAGACACGAAATGAATGATTTTGGGTTTAAAGACACGAAATAAATAATTTTGGCTTAAAAAATTTAAAGAAAGGTTACAAATGGTCAAGGTTAAAGGGAAATTCATGAGACTCTTCAACTCTTCACCTAACTCGATAACTAAAGACGTGAAAAGTACTCATCACTGGGTTTGGTTTTTGGGGAGACACAATCAGGTGTCTACAGAAGCCCCCACTTTGACTGAGTTTGGAGAAACTTAAGTTTTGAAAACAAAAGTTAAATTTATCGATAGGGACGGAGAATGATTCAGAACGTTCTGCAATCCTAAATCATCCTTTTTAACGCGGGTACCTGTAGAAAACATCAGTTTTACAAATAAAGGAGTTAAGGGAGAAGAAAAAAATGCGTATCTGACACCAATGTATCGGTAGCAAACACTTTTGCCAGCTTTCCACGCCTTGAGAAATCCACTGGATGATAATTTTCCATGCCTCGGGAATCCTACCGTGAACCACTACGCCTCGAGTGAATCCTTGGATGATAATCTTCCACGCCTCGGAAAGACTTGATATAAGATAAATTCCAAGCCTCGGGAACTCCATCGCGAATCACTACGCTTCGAGTAACTCACAAATGAAAGGTGACAAGTATCCGCGCTTCGAGCCAGATGTCGTAGATTCCTACGCCTCGAGCAACCTTTTGAATGATGATTTTCCACACCTCGGGAAGTCTAATCTGGGACAGTCTCCGTGCTTTGTGAGCCTTATCGCAAACTCCTACGCCTTGGTGTACATCCACCGTCTTCTATGCCTTGAGAAGTGTGCAATGATCTACAATTTTCCTCGCCTTGGGAGAACTTGTCTAGTAATTACGTATCTTTACGCCTCGAGAAACTCGCAAAACAGTCAATTTTGTTGAATCAAGTTGTTTTGTTTTGACAACCTCCACATTCTCAGGGAGCGCCATTGAAGACCACTACGCCTCGAGCCATCTTCTTAAATCCTCTCGTCTTCACGCCTTGGAAGTGATAACTTCTCACGCCTTGGAAAACCTACCGTAAAACCTTACTCCTCAAGATCTTACCGAGCTTAAATCAATTTCCGTAGAAATCTTCCACCTTAGGAAATTCTTGATTATGATCAATCACTACTCAAATGATGTGCTCAATCAATACTCAAATGTGCTCAATCAATCAATATGATCGTCATCAGGCCGATCATTAATCCAATGTGATCGTAATCGGGCCAAATCATTAATCGAATCAATTGCTTAGAGACTAAATGACGCCCCATAGAGCTCAAACAGCTCAATGGGGTGCAAAGAGTCAGCCTACGAGATCCACAAAGTCCAACGCGGACAGCAGCAGACACATCGCGCAACGCTAGTTTGTATCGCGAAGCGTTGGGAGTATCGCTTCGCGATAAATTCGTATTTCCCGGATTTAAACCCTTTCTTCTTCCTTTTCTCACTGCTCCTTCC